CGACTCACTGAAACTCCTGCCTCCCAGGCTCAAGTAATCCTCTAACCTCAGCCTCCCGAGTAGCTGGGACTACAGGCTCACACCACTATGCCCAGCTAATTTTTGTATGTTTTGTAGAGACAGAGTCTCATCAGGTTGTCCAAGCTGGTCTCAAACCCCTAAGCTCAAACAATCCTCCCACCTCAGCTTACAAAAATGCTGGGATTACAGGCATGAGCTACCACATCCGACCTATAGTGGTTTTTAAAAATGGTCAAAATCTGGGCCATGGGTGGTGACTCACGCCTGTAATCCCAGCACTTTGGGAGGCCGAAGCAGGTGGATCAGGAGCTCAGGAGTTCAAGGCCAGCCTGGTCAACATGGTGAAACCCCATCTCTACTAAAAATACAAAAAATTAGCTGGGCATGGAGTTGTGCACCTCTATTCCCAGCTACTCAGGAGGCTGAGGCAGGAGAATGGCTTGAACCTGGGAGGCAGAGGTTGCAGTGAGCCGAGACTGTGCCATTGCACTCCAGCCTGGGTGACAGGGTGAGACCCTGTCTCAAAAAAAAAAAAATACAATAAAATTTTAAAATGGCTAAAATCTGAAAACTGTGATGACAACAGTAGCAATGGCTGAATAGAACACTTCCCGTGTGATAGGCACTATTCTAAATGATTTACATGAACTAACTGGTATAGCAACAAAAACCAATGAAAGAATGATCTGTTCCTAGCTTACTGAAGAGACAACTCTTTCACATGCACGCTAGCTTGCCCCAGGTGTGAGGGCTGAAACAGCAGAGTAAGCACCAGATCCCAGGTCTCTGAGCATGAGAATCAAACCTAAAGAACCAAACAGTTAAGTAACAGATCAGCATCAAAAGTCAATTGACAATTACCTAATTCAGTAAATTCAAAACAACTTCAAGGATTAAAAACATGGAATTGCCTAAAAGTTCATCATATGTGCATATATATAATAGATATCCCCATAATACATTACTATAAGATTCTTTTAGCCATTGCCTCATTAACATAATCTAGAAAAATTTGAATATCCTGATAAATAGATATAATTTTAACTGATAAAAATATATATAACATAAAATTATGACATGCTATTTATAAAACACTATAGGCTTGCTCATCTGTGCACTCATGCTAACATATCGCATGTACACACTTATATATACTAACACTCATATACATTAGTACACATATACATGTATATGGCTGAGATCACAAAACCACACTCCAGTCTGGGCAACAGAGTGAGACTCTGTCTCAAAACAAAAAAAAAAAAAAAAAAAGGAATTCCACATGCAGCTTCTCTAATCCTAGTCCACAGAACACTCTCAGTGCATCCAGATGTGGCCCCTGAACAATCCCTGCTGCCCAACAGTACTGACACCACAGGGCCCTCACCCCATCTCCTTCCATGTCTGGATGTGAGCCCCTTGCAGGTCCATGCCCAGGGGACCTCTTCCCAAGTTCGTGTCACTGGGTAATAGGGAACTGGAATCTTAAGTG